CAGCCTGAACAATTTTGAAAACTTCTTTTCAAAATTGTTCAGGCTGTAGCAGAGAGGAAAGTAATCACTAACTTGAAACCTGTCAGGCTTCTGGTTTGCTGCTTATTCTCCCAATCTCATTCTGAAGGTTGTTGAAATCAAATTACAGATGTGGAAACAAATTCTTATCTGCTACAGTACAACAAGGAAACAGTGCTCATGACAAACTCATAGTATCCAGAACCAGAAAACGTTGTTGGTAACTTGGAATTGCTTTTCAAATCTTTTCCATAGGAATTTATTAAAAAATATAGACAGTTCTATTTGTCTATGACAGAAAATTGATTTGGTAACAATTTTAGTATTATCACTATTGTACTTGTTTTTGAAGTCTTTTTTGAGATTATATAAATTGGTATACATTTTTCATCAAGACCAACTACAGATTATTGTTTTGTGACATTTAGTTAATCCATGTAGTAGTTATTATGGTACTGGTCCAGACCTTTCTAACTTGGAATTGGAATAAACCTTTGCATGAACATATATTTTCTAACATGGAGTTGGAACTCTAGTTTGCTTCTCTCCCCACAACTATAGTCCCATTGGTAAGATGGGATTGTTAACCAGCTATTAAAAATATATAAGTAACAATATATGGTTCGATTTTAGTAACTGAATGTTTTATACTTCTTCCATTATTGATTTTCTTGAAGATATTTGAAATGAGCAATAATATTGTTTTATTGCACAGGAGTAAGAAACAAACTTTGTGAGTTGGAATATTCATTTCTTTAGCTAATTCTTTTTACCCTCTTCTACTCTGTACCTCCTCTCTGTCATTACTATTGTTGGAAGCTGTTATTTTTTTTTAGATTTTTTAATCCTGCCTTTATTATATTTATAAAAAATTCAAGGTGGCGAACATACCTAATACTCCTTCCTCCTATTTTCCCCTCAACAACAACCCTGTGAGGTGAGTTGGGCTGAGAGTGACTGGCCCAAAGTAACCCAGCTGGTTTTCATGCCTTACTGATTTTAAATTAAATTATTATATTCACTGTAGACTAAAAGAGTACTGTATGCTACTTCATAGTGTTAGAAACCACTTGCCTTAGGAGCCTGCTTTTGAAGAGCATGACTATTTGCTCATCTTGACTTTGGGTTCTTCTTATGAAAATATACCTATCCAATCTTCTGCTGACTTTGTTGGAGGTAAGATTAATGAAGGTCTGTAATTCTGCTTTGTATTTGACTGCTATTTTCAGGTTAATACCCTGCCATTTATATTAG